TATAAACCTATGCTTTAGGATATTCGAATTACGATAAAATGATAATTAAACCATGTTAGACTTGGTGGCCAAAATGTAGAATGCCAAAATGGCCACCAAAAGTTCCCAAAAATGTGTTACATATCCAAAATAGAAGATGCCAAAATGGCTACCATAAATCCCCAAGTAGGATAACACAGAGGCCTAACAAAACTAGGCTTGGAAGAATCGAACTAAAAGCGAATTAAAAGGGAAATCGAGATTTAATATCGTCAAAGTGAGTTTGGTCATAGACCATCTTACAGTCGAGGCGAGTCTTTTTAAGCTCCGGGAGATTGATCTCCTTCCTGATTTTCAAGGCCCGTTCACCATGAGCAATTCCCTCAAGAATAGTTTGTTAGATCTCATCACGATTCAAAAGGCTTCTAGGCGAGTCTAAAGAGGATTTTTGTTCTTCGAGAGTCAAAATCTTCTGATTAAGGTCGTCAATTATGGCCTAGTAATTTGAAATTTGTTGGTCAAGAGCATAATGTTGATCAATTTGCTTATGTCTGTTAGCTTCAAACCCGGTTATTTATTGATCGAATAGATCACTTAAGTCTCGTTCGAACCTTATCTCATTTGGTTTGGTTTTAAGCTGGCGATCAACATGTCGACAAGATATGAGATCTTTTGCAAATTGGCTGGAGAAAGATTCAAAGTCAACCAAGTATTGAGTTAGAGAGTCACGAATGTTGTGGGGATAGATGGAGTCAAGCAATTTAAAAAATTCTTTCACCATAGCATCCTCTTCTGCTATGACAGTTGGAAACTCCTTCATAAACAAATATGTCCTGAGCTGATGAAGTGACTGAATGACTTCAGCATCGAGCTCAGAAATGGGAAGAGAGGTTGAACCAAAGGGTTGCAGGGGGTTGGAGACATCTCAAAGTGTATGGAGTTTTCTGAAGTCCTCCATTGGATTTTTCCTTTTAAGGGTCGTAATCTTGGTTCAGACCAAGGAACCGACAGAGGTTTGGTCTTGCCTGGTTTGAGAATCAACTTCGACTGAAGCTGGATGCTTTGACCTTGTAGTATTGTTTCGATCAAGGATTTCCATAGTTGTTTGATGAGGTATAGGAGGCTCCTAAGAAAATCTCTGGATTAGCGTGGCAACTTAAGGAAGTGAGACAACATGAGAAAAGGAAAATACCTCAAAGATGAATTTCTAAACACGCCTTCCCTAAAAAACTGGGTCTTGAAGGAAAGAGGGCTTTGCTCTTTTTCGCTCGTCGAAGGGAGACTCTTGTCTCAGTTCGACCGTCGAACATCGTTTCCTCTTCTGAAGGATGAAAATGATATCAGAAAAGATAGGCGCGATTAAAGGCAACAAGGTATAGATAACATACCGTAAGATGTGTCATCGCTGTTTGAGCTTCATCAGTATGAGCACAAGGAGGTCGACAAACATTGACGGTGACCACAACTAGGGTTGGAGTTGGAGTAGGTTTCAAGGTCTCTAGAACCTAAACGGTGTAAATAATCCCTTGGAGGAGTTGGGTGCAGATAAATATTTGTGTTCGACTTGTGACCACCATTAGTCGAATAGGTCACTGGTAAAAGAAGAGTGGTCGAAAGAAAATATAGGAAGATAAAGAGTTTGAGCAGCCCTGTAAAACCAGAGGCATGTCTGATGATCGTCAGCAGTCAGTCGCCTACCAACCCATACGATGTCGACATGATGGGAAAACAAGGATGAATGTAACATTTGGCTGAGTCCGAACTATCGAGCTACCAAGTTTGGCTAATAGCTCATGAAGCCATATCCCTGCGGCCCAGGTTCAAGTCGGCAAGAGAGTAATGTGGGGGTAAAAATGCCCTCCAAATGGCATTAGTCTGACCAATGTTTCGAGACACACCAGGGAAAAGGGCCCTGAACGAATCTGGACCAACTTATCTCTCTACGAAATGGGCCATAGCTGAGACAAAGGTAGTGGTTTCGACAAACATATTAATAAATTTCATGAATGCAAATCGGTCGATTTTTGTGGGAGAGTGGCGAAGGACAATCTCAGGCCTTCGATATTGCTGGATTTGAGCAAGTGTCGAACATCTTCAAAAACAGGATGACCTAGTTGGTATTCAAATGTGGCGGTCAACCAGTATTGCAGTAGCCAGATAGGCCCTGGGAGAGACAACTCCTTGTCATGACCAGGGAGAGACTTTAGTTGACAAGAAGCATCGCCCAAAGTTTGTTAAAGATACGCCAATAAGAGTTTGTTGAGGGAAATGTTTCGGCCCTCATTGAGTTGAATAGCCAAAGGTATAAATGTTTTGACTACGTAGGAAGACCCTGAGTAGAACAAAAATTGAGAAAGCCAGAGGGTCAGAAAAGTGATGTGCTCGCTATCAGAAACAATCTTTATACCTTTGACATGATGATCAACAATGTATTGGGTGAACTCTACACTATCAAAATGAAAGGAGTGTTTAGTCGACTCGGTAGGGTCAAATATCCCACCAAGTGGAGAAAGCCTAGTTATACCAGCCACTTCGAACAAAGTAGGTGTCTACATCCCACATGGAAGTTGGAAAGTGTTGGTCGAACCTTCCCAGAAGAAGAGTGAAGACATGATTATGTTGGGGTTGATCCTATAGGTTCTCCTTGAAAGTTGAATAACATTGACAATACCCATTTGTTCCCATTGAGTTCCCCGTTGTTCTTGGACCTTGTCAAGCCAAGCAAAATACGCCGTGTTGTCAGGTGTGGGGATCAAGCAAAATATGTTGGCACCAGAGCCACGAACCTAACTGAAATAGTTTCATTGGGAGTAAATGCAGAGGGGATAGTAGGATCAAAACAAGGGAAATACTAACTAACCATTTTTTGGTGTTTTTCCTTAGTAGGATAGGGCCCGTGGAAGGCAAAGAGCTTCCCTAAAACAGAAAATTAAATAAGCATTTATTGCTGTCATGTTGTGATCTTGTTTTTGTTATGTGAGGGTTGAGGAATGAAGTCCAGACTCTCTTTCTCGGAAAGAGAAAAAGGCTACGGTAACATCGCCGATGTTAAAGGGAGTGAGAGAAGAAGCATCCATTGTAAAAGAGGGGGAGTAATTTTTTTCTTCAAAATTTCCAGAAGTGACGGGGGTAATGGTCTGAAATGAATGGAAAGAAGAAAAAAAGAGGTGAAATGGTTTAGAGTGGCTTTTTAAAGCGAAGGATAAGGCAACAAATCGAGGAGTGGGAAAGTTAGTGGGAGTTGTTTAAAATCCCACGCCCTACAAACTAGGAATCATCATGAGATATGATTGATGAACATGGGGAATTGTTGCGCAGAAAGTGGTCATGATTACGCGTGACGTCATTCTGAGAAGACAGGTCGTCGAAAATACCACTAGATGAAAATGCCAAAGTTTTCCATCGACAGGGGTCTCCGTCAAACTTGACATTTTGGGAGGCAATTTATTGACAAAGCATTTTTGACAATGAAACAAGCCCGATATGAGAAGGTATTTTCTAAATGGGAAGGCCCATTAAAGACTTCAGAAGAGGTGTCAACAGGCTCTAGTCGACGAATTTGTCACTTGGAGAAGAATGGCTCGACGAGCCTTGAACAACATGGTGAGGCTGTCGACAGGCATGCCAAAATGGCGCCAAGAGAAGTTTTGAGTTTGCATGCTAGCAAGAACGTGGGAGAAGTTATGAAGCTTTTCCACATGAAATTCCAACGTGGGATACTATAACCGTCGACAATTACGTCTCTAGATTTTTCTATTTAAGCAAATAATTGTATTCGTTTTGGGGGGTGACATTTCTTAGCATTAAGAGCATTACACTCAAAGTACCCGCATCTAAGAGAGAAACGAGTTCACGCTTGAAAATGTACGAGTGCTTCCACATTTCAATTCAAAGTAATTTCCATTTTTTACTTTAAAATTCTTGTCTTGTTTTTTACTTTTTATTTTAGCAATTGCCTTGTTCTTTTGCCTCTTTTTTTACGCTTGTCAAACCAATCAACCAGTTTCACACAAAACTAAAAACAAAAAATTTAGGATTTTTGTAGTCGATCCTGCAAGTAACCTTTAATAAGAGGCTAAAGATTGTTTGTGAGAAACATGTATCCGTACTCGCGTCCATACCCGCTTATTTTCGTGGGTAATTGTCCGTGCCCATACTCGTACCTATTTTGCGGGTTTTTACCTACCTGTTGTGGGTGATTTTTGAGGGTATCCGCTAGAGATGGATACAATTGTCATGCCTATTAGTATAGATATAGATTTAATAATTTAACGGATATCCACGAAAAGAAATTAACAAATATTTTGTTAACTATTAGTTTATAAATACATATATTAATTTGATGGTATCCGTATTAGTGAATATTTGTATTTATTATTATTATTATTATTATTATTATTATTATTATTATTATTATTATTATTATTATTATTATTATTATTATTATTATATTGAATCTAGTATAATTATAAGATAGAAAAAGAAATCAAATGAATGTGTTTTTATTTTATTATTATTATTATTATTATTATTATTATTATTATTATTATTATTATTATTATTATTATTATTATTATTATTATTATTATTATGCATTAAATTAAAAAAAAAGTATGTATTTTTAAAAAAAGGATAAAAAAGTTTAATTAATTTTTATTTTTATTTAAATAATAGTGTCCATCAATATTCATAAATATTTTTCACAAATATTTTAAAATTCACAGATATTTATGTAGTGAATACTCATATAGTATGGGACGGACACAAAAATTATATTTATTCTGTACTAGTACTTGTCATCCCTAATTTAGTCGTTTGATCTCAAATATAAAGTTATATATGTATTAAATTAGGTTGAATATGAAGATGCAAGCTCAAAAAATCCATGATTCTATAAAAAAATGCTATAGACTGAATAGATTTTTCGTGTCTATTAATTTTCTCTTCAGTTTTTTAATGTGTATAAAGTTAAAGAGCTAACCGATAAGATTCCTATTGATGTGTTTTCAGGTTCAATACCGATGGAAATTGGTCATCTCAATCAACTTCAAATTCTAGAATTGGGAAATAACAGTTTGAATGGTGTTATCCCTTTGAATCTCTTCAACATTTCAACATTGGAATATTTGACTCTTCAACTAAATTCTCTCTCGGGTATTCTTCCATCAAATATGGGATTAGGCCTTCCAAACCTACAAGAACTACACATGTATGGAAACAGGTTTGTTGGAAATATTCCAAACAGTATTTCCAATGCTTCAAATCTCATTAAACTTGACTTGAGTGAAAATGAGTTTAGTGGAATTATACCCACTTCTTTGGGAGATTTAAGTTTCATCCAAAATCTCTACTTAGCTAGCAATAATTTAACAATGGATGATTCTCCTGAATTCAACTTCCTTACTTCCCTTACAAGTTGTAGATATTTGGAATACCTTGATATATCAGATAATAGTTTACTATCAAAACTTCCCAAGTCCATTGGAAACTTATCTTTAGAAAACTTTGTGGCAACTTCTTGTGGAATTAATGGAAATATTCCGCTAGAAATCGGAAACATGAGCAACCTGATTCGACTATCTCTAAATAGTAATGATTTAAATGGACCAGTCCCTATAACAATTAAAGGGTTACATAAACTTCAATCTTTAGATCTTGATGACAATGGACTTCAAGGATCTTTAGCTCATGAGCTTTGTGAAATTAGGAGTTTGAGTGAGTTGTATTTAATAAGCAATAAGTTTTTTGGTGTGTTGCCAACATGCTTGGGAAACATGACCTCTCTTAGAAAGTTTCACATTGGATCTAATAATTTGAACTCTAAAATACCTTCTTCCTTTTGGAATCTCAAAGATATTTTAGAGGTAGACTTATCCTCTAATGCTTTAATTGGAAATCTTCCATTTGAGATTAACAATTTGAGAGCTCTAGTACTATTAGATCTCTCAAAAAATCAATTTTCAAACAACATTCCACCAACCATAAGTCTCTTGGAAACTTTAGAAACTCTCTCCTTAGCATATAACAAATTGAAAGGTCCTATCCCAACATCACTTGGTGAAATGGTAAGCTTGAACTTCTTGGACTTGTCTCAAAATCTTATAACAGGTGTGATCCCAAAGTCCTTAGAGTCACTTTCATATCTTAACTACCTTAATCTATCATACAATAGATTGGAAGGAGAGATTCCAAATGGAGGACCTTTTAAAAGCTTCACAGCTCAATCTTTCATTCATAACAAAGCACTTTGTGGTAATCCTCTCTTACAAGTACCTCCATGTGATAAACATGTTAGGAAAATGTCAATGAGAAAGAAGTTGTTAATCATATGCAATTCATCCATAATTGCTGTGCTAGGCATTTTGGTTGTTGTGTGCATGATACTTCGAATGCATAAAAGGAACAAGATTGGAAATCCAATTGAAAAAGATTTATCAACTTTAGGGGCTCCAAGTAGGATTTCCTATTATGAACTTGTGCAAGCAACTAATGGATTTAGTGAGAGTAATTTACTTGGAAAGGGTGGTTTTGGATCTGTGTATCAAGGAATGCTTTCTAGTGGAAAGATGGTAGCAGTTAAAGTGCTTGATTTAACATTGGAAGCAACATTAAGAAGTTTTGATGCAGAATGCAATGCAATGCGCAATCTTCGACATCGAAATCTTGTTGAGGTTATTACTAGTTGTTCCAATGATGATTTCAAATCTTTAGTGATGGAGTTTATGCCAAATGGAAGTGTGGAAGAATGGTTATATTCAAATAACTATTGTTTAAGTTTCTTGCAAAGGTTGAATATAATGATAGATGTTGCATCTGCACTCGAGTATCTCCATTATGGTTCTTCAATACCAGTGGTTCATTGTGATTTGAAGCCTAGTAATGTGTTACTGGATGAAAATATGGTTGCACATGTGAGTGATTTTGGCATTTCCAAGCTCTTGGATGAAGGACATTCTAAAACTCATACTGAGACTTTAGCTACTCTTGGTTATGTTGCACCAGGTAAGTTCTTCACTTCAAATTCATATTAGATCTTATTAATTTGAATTTAGTCAGATAAATTCATTTGTAAAATTAAATAAATTTTTAATGTATATTTTATTTGATAACTACTTATTGGTTGTAACATGTAGAGTATGGTTCTAAGGGAGTCATTTCTGTTAAGGGGGATGTGTATAGCTATGGAATAATGCTAATGGAAATCTTCACAGCAAAGAAGCCAACAAATGAAATGTTTGCAGAAGAATTAACTTTGAAAACTTGGATTAGTGAGTCAATGGACAGACCAATTATGGAAATTGTGGATTTCAATTTAGTCTCACAACATGAGAAAGAAATTCATGAAATTTTAGCCTTAGCACTGAGATGTTGTGAAGATTCACCTGAAGCACGGATTAATATGACACATGTAACTACTTCATTGATCAAAATAAAAAATGTTTGTGTGTGAGATAGTTTTAGTGAGGGAAAAAGAGAGAATAAGAAAATAAAAATTTTATTATTTAATTAAATTGTACAAACTGAATTACAAACCATGTCTATTTATATACAACTAACTTATACATTAAGTAGACTAACAAACCCTAACTAGGCTTGAACTTGGATTACACAAGTTGGATTATATCTTATATCTCAACATATATACCTCTCTGTAATCCAAGTTGTGGAACCTACATTAATCATAGTCGATCTGAACTATTCCTAGTTTCTTTCTCAAATTCATGAATATGTCGATTTTCAATCCTTTCGAGAAAATGTCAACCAATTGTGCCTCACTTGAGAAATTCACTACTTCAAGTTCACCTCGATTTATCTTCTCCCTTAAGAAGTAAAATCTAACTTCTATATGCTTACTCCTTTCATGCAGAACTGGATTCTTCGCAAGATTTATGGTTGACCTGTTGTCGATTTGCAGCACCAGGGGGTTCTTCACTTCCACTTTCATTTCTTCAAGCACAAATTTGATCCAAATTGCTTAACACGCAACATATGATATTTCTATATATTCAGCCTCACACGATGACAATGCCACCACAGGTTGCTTTCTCGAGCACCATGAGATTTGAGCACCAAAGACTTGAAAGAAATAACCTATTGTGCTTCTTCGATCTTCCTTATCTCCATATCAACCATCATCTGAATAACATGTAACCGTAGCTTATTTGCTTTTAGAATTTTGTCTAAATAGAATTCAACAGTTTATCGATCTTTTAAGTATCTCAAGATTCTTCTTGCAGTCTTCATGTGTGACACCCTTGGCTCACTCATGTATCTGCTCACTAATCCAACTGTGAGACATATATATGTTTGATTGTTGCACACATATCTCAGAGATCCAACTATTTGCTTAAACAAAGTTACATTGACTTTGTTTTTCTCTAACGCTTCTCCAACTTCAAATTTGATTCGACAGACGAAAATTCTGGAGTGAAATCATCCATCCTAAATCTCTTTAGTATATATTTGATATACTTTCTTTGATATAGCATCATTCCTTACTTTGACATTTGAAATTCCATACCTAGAAAATAAGACAATTTTCCCGGAATCCAACATTTCAAATTCTCTCATCATCATCTCTTTGAACTTCGACAAGTTCTTCCAGTTATTTCTAGTTACCAGCAAGTCATCTACATATAAGCAGATGATTGTTTTATTTTATGCCACAACCTGAACATAGACATCATACTCAGATTTGTATTTGACGAATCCCAATTCGACTAAGTATGAACCGATCTTTTTGTTCAATACCCTAGGTGTCTGGTTGAGGCCATAGAGCGCTTTGTGAAACTTGTACATCTTACTCGCTTCCTTCTTAATCACAAATCCAGGAGGTTGTATGGCATAAACCTCTTTGTCTAAGGGTCCATTCGAAAATGCTGACTTCACATCTAAGTGAAATATCGACCAACCTTGCTTGCATGCCAAGACTACCACTAGTCGAACAATCTCCAATCTTGCTACTGGAGAAAATACTTCAGAGTAGTCGAGTCCTACTCTTTGAAGAAATCCTCGAGCTACCAATCATGTCTTATGTCTTGTTATCGACCCATCATCATTGTGTTTTAACTTGAACACCCACTTTACTTTGATAGTTTTTGTGTGTGTTGGAAATTCGACTAACTCTTATGTGTTGTTTCTTTCGATTTCCTGTAACTCTTCGACCATAGCTGACTTCCACTGTTTATTCTTTAAAATCTCGCTATAGCTAATTTATTCAGTACCTACAAGTAAAGAAAAATAAATTAATTCTCCATCAGGTATTACTTCATCATATCCAATCACTTCATAGTCTTGAAGTCTTATTGAACGAACTCTAGTTCTTTGAGTTCTTTGGCTTATGTTAGCCACACCCTCTTCAACTTCGATTGTGTCAGGAATATCGGTAAATGCCTCAACTTCAACTGGAATATCGATAATTTCTTCGACTTTATTTGTTTCTTCTTTGAATCCATAGCTCATCAATGGGTTGTTAATTGCATTATCATAATTCTAATCCACAACATAATTCTCATTAATAAAAATGTCATCGGAAGGTATTTGACTCTATATGTTACAACCAAGCTCTGATACCAATTTGTTAGTGCTTGAGACACTTTTAGTGAGGAGAGAAATAGAGAGATAAAGAAATAAGAATTCTATTATTGAATTGAATTGCACAAACTGAATTACAATCTATGTCTATTTATATACAACTAACTTGTACACTTAGTAGCTAACAAACCTTAATTGAGCTTAAATTACTCAACTTGGATTATATCTTATATCTCAATAGAAACCTTATTCATTCGGTTAAAAAAGGAAATCATGAAGTAAAATTAAGTTGTGAATTATAAACCACATAGTACCCAATATTTTTAAAACATTCTCATGCTCTTTTATTCCTAATGATATTTGAATCTACATGTATATAAAATATTATTTAATTTCAAAGTATAGTTCATTGTTATTCTCTTTTTGATTGGTCTGAGTTTCTTCAGGGAAGCATTCAGTGTCTTTGGATAACTTTAGGCAATTCTTAGCATTTTTTATTAAAAATAAATTAAAAGAAAAAAAAATCATATATATGAGAGAGAGAGGATGTCATCAGAGCATGGAATATTCGGAGGATGCTTTCCTGCTCCTCGCCCCGCCCTTTTCTAGATTTTTTTGAAATAAATGATACCAATATATAAATTTAAATTAATAAAAGAATATATTTTTTGATAACTTTTTAGTAAAGAGTTAAAAATAGTAAATAAAAAAATAACATGATGTTAAGTACTTTTTTTTTTGTGATTTTTTTTAAATGGAAAAGAAATCATGAATAAAACACAATAAAAATCAAATTCCACTAAATTCATAAACGACTTCTAACGTTTCTATTTTTTCGTGGTTTTTCAAAGCATAATCAGCTCTTGACTTGTAAAGTAAAATTGTAGATGATGTCAAGGAGAATCATATGCAAAAAGAACCGCTCAAAATGTCGAAATTTGAAGAAGTTATAAATTTTTAAAATCTAACTCAAGAATTGGCAAAAAAAAAGGTCAAACCACTCGTGAACACTTGTTATGCAATGATGCAAATAGAGGGTGGGATCTTAGGTCAATAATTGGGGTATGACATTGGGTCCTTTTTATGATCTAAATCTTGTTATTTTTGCAGGTTGGAAAATCTTCTCACCGGAGAAGACGACCAAAGTTAGGGCTCCGGTGCTTCCCTGATTCACTTGATTTTATTATATATTTATTTGTTTATATTCTATAACAAAAACGCAGCACAACGTAGTTGGTTGGAGACAGAGGCATGTAACGTGAGGGGCATGGTTCGATCCCTATTGTTGTACCCCAAAATTTACCCTCTCATTTCTTAAAGGATCATCCTGGACCCTCGGGTTTGCTTCTATCATGTTTCGAGTCTTGGATTACAATTTTCCAAGAAAATCATTCACAAGGGCAAAATGGTCAAAAGCACACTGAAAAGTCAAACTTTGACTTTTAGATAAAAAATCAAGTTTCAACAATTATATTTCATCACGACATGAAATTGGTTCATCAAAAATCAGAAGTCAGAAATTACTTTGAAAAAAAATCCAAATTTCTAAACATTTAGAAATTTGTCTAAGTGTTAAGAGAATATGGTACTTCAGAACTTCTGGGCCAACCCCCACGCAAGCGTAATCAGAATTTGCAAACACGGTTCAGAACATGATGCTTCAATCAGAACATGTAGAAGTGATGCTCTTTGGTCAGAACATGATTCTTTAACATATGAAGGCTATGTTCAACGCTTCAGTCAGAACATCACCCTTCGAGTCTCATTCTGGTCTTCTGCGATCAGAACATCACCAAATCCCAAAACTTTGTTTAAACAACCTGCTGCCCTACTGTGGCACAGTCCTGCAACTAGCTACTGATCCAGTCCACGTCTGCACCTTCTCAAACCCCATATTTTCACCAAATTAGCATACAAAAGCTGCGATTAAAAAGCAATAGAACAATATACTAAAAATGTTCAAATCCAATTTGTTTTTTCCCCTAAACTACAACAAACTCACCTATAAATAAGTTGTTCCATCACACTTACAAGGGGCTGGCTTTTAAAGAGAGAGAGAATTATCTAAGAGATAAAAGGAAATAGTAAAAAACCTTCGCAAATTCTAAACAAAACCTTTGTTCTTCCCTTTGAATCAAAGAACATAACCCATGTTCCGTTGCCCTAGTTGACTCCAGAACATCTGAAGGTAGCAGCTCAAGTTCCAGGCACACGCTCCAGATTCAAGGTAAGTTTTTCTAACTTTGCATCTTTTCATTCAGAACATCATTAAATATGTAAATACCATAGTATTGATGTTGTCCATATCATTGCATAAGTAGAAAAATTATGGATCAAAACTTCTTGAATAAAGCTAGGCTCAGAATTAGAATCAGAACTTCTATAAACTGTTGTGCTTTTATCCTTCTGATTTGCTGTTAAGGACTGTATAAATTGTTGATGTGCTGATTAATATGAGGAAAGAGTTGAAATGTAACACAGAACTTATGAGTTCTCCTCACCATTTTAACACACACAGAACTTCTGATTTTCACTCGCTGTTAACACACACTGAACTTCTGATGTTGACTCACTGTCTTAGCACATACTGAACTTCTGAGTTCTCCTTACTATTTTAATACACAGAACTTCTAAGACTTTCTCATTGTTCTAACACTCGGAAGTTTAGCACGTAGCAACCCATAACTTTTGTGTTTTCCCTCTAACGTTTCTTGTAGGACCTCAGAGTGCATCAATCCAGATCTTCTGATTTCCTATGACGTGTCTTTCTGAACCACAGCGCGCCCGGCATCAGAACTTCTGATCCCCTTTGTTTTGCTTTCAACAGCATGCTAATTTTATCTCTCATTATTTCACTTTTTATCATTTTCAATATTAATACCCTTTTTATTAATATAAAAAAGACATAAAAATATT